AACACAATAACAAATGTAATAGATTTCAGGGTTATAATGGGAATTGTATTGGTTTAAATGTAAACTATAATGGTGTCTATTTGATGGATTCTATTGGTGGAATGTAATCTGGCAGATGGCAACCAATAGAACAACAGTAATTCCTATTGGAATAATGCCCAAAACAAAAAGGAATTTTGTAATGGTTTAATGGAAACTATAAGAATTTCTGTGATGGTTTCTATTGTTTTTTTCAGCAGGGTAATGATACTCATACTGTGCTGCACATTATTGACAATATTGAGCTGAAGCTTGACTTTGCAAATTTAAAATCGCAAATCAAATCTCAATCGCGATATCTGTCAAAAAAATCGCAATTTGATATATTCCCCCAAATCGCACAGCCCTAGTGTGTGCGTGTATTTGTTTTATGAGTTGCTGTTTTATAAGTTCTACAGAAATGCATTCTCAACACACAAAAACACCACACCTCAATCTTGTTCTCCCCTGCATGTCCTCTATGTCCTCCTGCTCTTACTGTCTTTTTCTTTGGCTTTCCTGAATGCTGCATCTCTCCTGCACCAGCATGTGTTTGCGTTAGATGGCTTAAAGTTTAAATGCTGTTCAGTTGTGCATTTCCAGACTAGGTGTCTTTTGCATCTGGACTGCTGCCTTGTGTCTGTTGTGATTTGTCTAGGGTTGGGAATCGAAAATTGATTCCGATTCCAGAATCGGATACTTAAGGTCAGGAATCGGATACTTGTTGTCAAATTAAAATTTCGATTCTACCTATCGATTCCTATGTGCTTTTTTTTCTTCATCTATGAGGACCGGACCTAGTGATCTGCTTGCTCGCTAATCTAAGCGCTCCAAAGTTTGGCTAGATTTGCGATCAGATGCCAAAAAAGCAGTGTAATATCTGTGATAGCTAAACATGTTGCAAGAGAGGTGTCACCACCAACATGATAAAGCACTTTAATTTAATAGATCGTTAAAGATCGCGAACACGATTCAAACACCAACGTGAATCTATTCCTAAATTACAATGACTCGTCTGTTTCATTCCTCAAACTTTGGCGTGTGCGATCAATGTTGTGATCACTTGGTTCGTCCGTGCAGAGTACAATCACACCAGTGTGATTTGAACATTTAAATTTGCGTTCGCGCTGCCGCTGACCTAAAGAGAGCAGCTGTCTGTCATGAATGAAACATCTTCACAGTCTTTTCAGCCACACAGTATCATTATTTTTGTTGCAAACATTCAAATCACAGAAGTACTGGGATAAACGTTTATAGTTCAGATATAAACTCTGTGTACGATGTGTATGGTAGCGATTAAAAGTAATTTGACACTTCAAATGAAGATTTATCAATTACATTGTTAAGCCAGTAGGTGGCGAAAAGGGGCTGTTAAAATGTATTTGTTTTTGAATCATACAAGAGATTCGTTCAAGAACGCTGATTCATCCAGTAATGAAACAAGTACATCTTGAGTGAGTCATTTAATCATTAATTCATAAATTACATGTGATTTTGTTTAGTTGTCTAATGTTTTTTCTTCAGAATCATGAGAGAACCACAACTTCCGTTTGGGGGAAAAAAAAGGTGAAAAAAACTCAATTTATCCAGAATCATGCAGTTCTATTTTGCACACAAACTTTACTTAAAGAGTCCAGTTTTTATGTAGCCAGTTGATTTTTGTTCATGGCATTCAGCTCCAATAAATGGTTTGCAAAAAAGAGACAAGATAAATGTTTGATATCATTATTTAATCACATTGGAATCGAAACTGGGAATCGAAAAGAATCGGAATCGGAATTGATAAAATTCAAACGATACCCAACCCTAGATTTGTCTTTGTGATGTCTTGTCCTGTGCCTTCTTGGGAGCTAAGAATTTTTGAACAGCTGTGACCTGCCTAACTAGACAGCATTTTTGGAGCTGTCTAGGTAGTCATCTCACTAGGTTGTGAGATACAGCCAAAAAGGACCTTTCCTGCCGTCGGTTCTCGATGCGGTCTGCCTTGGGTGTGTGCCCGTGCATGTTTCTGTATGTCATTGTTATATGTGTGTTTGTGTTCTCTGTGAATGTTCAGTACACTGTGTGTGTGCGTGTGTGTTTAAATGTTTGAAATTTGCGTGAATGTGTGTGTAGCTCTCCGCAGGCTGCTCCTTCCACTCTTGGATGTCGTTCCACACACAGCAGTCCAGTTCACAGTGCGAGCAGTCGTCTTTCTCAGGGCTTCTCCGTTTCCGTGCCAACACTGCTGTTCGCCGGTATGAAACCCAGACACAGGAGCTCAGAAGCCCCCAGAGCCAGGCAGTGTAGGCAGGTACCCCACGACCCCCATGACCCCGTCACGACTCTGCCACGGACCTGTCACCCCGTTCTTCATTGGCAGACAGCTATGACATCACCAGCCCCCCTTCCCTTCAGCTGCCAAAGCAACCTTGTTTACAGCTTAAAAATACCTCTGACCAATCAGTAAGCTGCATTCAGCTGTCACTCACGGAGTATATCCAATCAGAGGTGTCAGTTTGCTTCTGTGTTTTTATTTTGTGCGCGTACGTACCTTTTGATTTTTTTTTTAGGCAGGGTTGTTGAATTTTACATTTTGGCCTTGTGAAGGCATTAGTCGACCTTTGTTATCAAAGCGTTGTGCTTTGGTTGGCTGAAACACGCTTCTTGTTCATCTCATTTGCGTCCTGCCTCTTTTTTTGGGTTTCAGGTTTTTTTTTTTTTTTTATCCCTGCCCGCTACCATAAAGTGCTTTGCTGTCTCTTCTTGACATCCTCACACGCTCTACCCTTTCAGCAGCAAGCAGTCAACACTCTTTCTGTTTTTCTTTCTTACTCACAATCTCTTCCTCCACATCATGCACACGCTCAAACACACACACACGGGCACAGTCCTCATGCATGACCCTGTGAGTCCGTGTGTGTTGATGGAGTGTGTTCCTCCTTGCTCTCACAGGCCAGGGTTTGGGGAGGAGGCCCCAGGCGTCCCGTTATCCTCAGGACCCCCCACCCCTCTGAGAGCACAAACCTTCTCCTCCTTCTCCCCCTCCAAGTCCTACAGTCGCCAGTCCTCCTCCTCTGACACCGAGCTCAGCCTAACCCCCAAAACCGGTAAGATACCCGACCCCACCTGACCTCTGACACTCTACCAGGCTCGCTCTCTCTATGGGCCTTGATTTTAATCAATAGCAGCACACTGACCCCAGTGTCAAGGCTGAGAGGCAGAGGGTCTAGGGCGCAGTGTCTCTGTTTATTTTGGGCTAGTTTTGTGTTTAATTCATTTATGTTTGTTGTGTTGTCCTTCCATTATTACTTTATCTGTGTGTGTGAGATGTTTATTTATATTTGACTCAAGGAGTGATCTCGTATTTTGTGCATTTGGAATCTGTGAAGAAAATGAACTCCACCATGCCTTCCATATGTGAATCAGCCCCTTCTAAAGGACTTATGTCCTTTAGAAGGGGCTGATAATTCAGAACTAAAGAACTTTAGTTCTGTTTTTTTCATTTTTTATTTCATGTCTCTTATTTTTCATTATCTTTCCAGGGATGCAAACTGCTTAGTTTTATTCAAAATCCTCTATGTGTTATAAAATAGGTCACTTATTCGGTTTCATTGTGAACCAAGGAGCTTTTTTCACTGCAAGGTTAAATTATTAAAGGGATCGTTCACCCAAAAATGGAAATTCTGTCATTATTTACCCTCGTTCATGTTGATTTAAACCTATATGACTTTATTTTAAAAATATATTTTGAGAACTGTCTGAGTGTTTTTGTCCATACAATGGAAGTCGATGGGGTCAGTGTTGCTTTGCTCCCAACGTTCTTCCAAATATCTTCTCAGCGTTCTTCAGAATAAAGTCATAGAGGTTTGGATTGACATGAGGGTGAGTAAATGATGGCAGAATTGTAATTTTCTCTGAAGAGGTATTTTTGTGAAGTAGATTTAAGTTTAATATTTATCTGGACTTTAATGAAAATGCCAGAGCCTTTGCTTTTCTGACACTCTACCAGGCTCTCTCTCTCTATGGGCCTTGATTTTAATCAATAGCAGCACACTGACCCCAGTGTCAAGGCTGAGAGGCAGAGGGTCTAGGGCGCAGTGTCTCTGTTTATTTTGGGCTAGTTTTGTGTTTAATTCATTTATGTTTGTTTTGTTGTCCTTCCATTATTACTTTATCTGTGTGTGTGAGATGTTTATTTATATTCGACTCAAGGAGTGATCTCGTATTTTGTGCATTTGGAATCTGTGAAGAAAATGAACTCCACCATGCCTTCCATATGTGAATCAGCCCCTTCTAAAGGACTTATGTCCTTTAGAAGGGGCTGATAATTCAGAACTAAAGAACTTTAGTTCTGTTTTTTCATTTTTTATTTCATGTCTCTTATTTTTCATTATCTTTCCAGGGATGCAAACTGCTTAGTTTTATTCAAAATCCTCTATGTGTTATAAAATAGGTCACTTATTCGGTTTCATTGTGAACCAAGGAGCTTTTTTCACTGCAAGGTTAAATTATTAAAGGGATCGTTCACCCAAAAATGGAAATTCTGTCATTATTTACCCTCGTTCATGTTGATTTAAACCTATATGACTTTATTTTAAAAATATATTTTGAGAACTGTCTGAGTGTTTTTGTCCATACAATGGAAGTCGATGGGGTCAGTGTTGCTTTGCTCCCAACGTTCTTCCAAATATCTTCTCAGCGTTCTTCAGAATAAAGTCATAGAGGTTTGGATTGACATGAGGGTGAGTAAATGATGGCAGAATTGTAATTTTCTCTGAAGAGGTATTTTTGTGAAGTAGATTTAAGTTTAATATTTATCTGGACTTTAATGAAAATGCCAGAGCCTTTGCTTTTGCTAGCACAGATTGTCTGCATAAATGCATGTGCTGAGTACTTGAAAAGCAAATATAAAGTGTGGCTTTTCCTTGAAGACACTCCGATTTACAGAAACCGTATGATCAAGTTTGTTCAGCACTGTCAGTTTTATGCTTTTCATTGTTATAGTGACTTTGAAGAATGAAATGCTAATGTGCACAAGAAACATAGGGGCACAGTATAATATATAAAACTGAAACACTTCAGTTTTATATTTTATCTTTATCCCTTTCTCTCTCCCTCCTGTATTATACACCCTTCATGTATTTTACACCCCCCAAAAATCATTGTTGAAATGATGAAATAATTGATGAAATGTCACTATCCTAGTTCAGCTTATATTTGTTTTCATGTGTAAAATAGCAATAAACCCTATTTTACCTTTTCTACATATTTTAAATAAAAATCAAAAAGGGACCCCAGAGGGATAATCCACCAAAAAAATGAAAATGCTGTCATATTTTTTTATTCTTTTTCCAAACAGCAACATGTTCATAGTGACCATGTCTGGTCAAGCTCAAAAAAAAAAAAAAAAGTCACCATAAAGCACAATTTGTGTAGTCCATATGACTTATATATGAGCCAATATTCTGAAGTCATCTGGAGCATAAATCTGGAGCAGTTAATTGAGAATTCACCTCTGAAATTGATTAAGGAAGTCATTATGGAAGTCTGGCTTGCTTAGTTGGGGACACTTCATTTCCAGCGTTATCGTTGACATAATTGCAAAGATATTATTTAAACTGAGCTGGATGTTGACATCACTGAATTCAATGATGAACTGTCTTTAACTGAAAAATGAGTGTTTACTATTGTCATTTTGCATTATTGACACTATTTTCCTAATTAATGCTGTTCAGTTGCTTTGTCACAATCTGTATTGTTAAAAGCGCTATATAAATAAAGGTGACTTGACTTGACTTATGACAGAAATGTCAGTTTTGGAAAAACTACAACTTATACCTTCAAAACCAACCTGCTGGAAATAAAACCCTTGGAAAACCATTTTATTTACCTCTCATCAATTTGCATCCCCATCTGTTGTGTAGTTCAGTCACCCCTTATTTTTTTTCTCATATGATGTCTTCATACCTGTCCTCCCCAAACTTCTCTCTCATTCTTTCTCTGTCAGTGGGGATATTTCTGTTTCCCAGTACTCCCGCCCTTGAATCTGAATCATCTCCCCTCCCCTCTGCCCATCTGCCCCGTCACTTATGGCCAGGGATGGCCTCCAGGAGTACAACTCCTCCCCCACTCCGTCTCAGCCAATCAGACACAGCCATTCTGAGAAAGAGCGTGTCTTTCAGTGAGGAACTGCTGCTGGCGGCCTCTGGTAGGATACACCCACTGCTGTTCCCATGACCTTTGACCCTTGGTGCAGTGACTGCATCCAGTGTCACCACACCAACCCCTGTGCTGCCCCCTGGCAGAATATCATGCCCGTTGCTGAATAAAACGTACTAACAAATGGATTTTTTTTCTCATTTGCCCACACACACCTTTTGGCAAATGCACTCTGAGTGAATGTTATGATAGAGTGGTGTGGTTTAATGTCTTCTAAGCTCTCTGATTTAACAAAACCCCACTTGCATGCGTTTTTTCAGCCTGACTGCAGGTTAGATTTCTCTGCCAGTGGAAGAAGAAACTAGAAAAAATAAACCAGCCACCCTCTGTCGTCTCTTATTAGCTGGTTCCAAAAATCTCATTTCCTAGTGCCTGGGCTCTGAGCTTATGTGTCTGAAACTGTATATTAATTGTGTTTTAATTTGTCAAAAAGTGAAAACTTGATGAAGTTGCCCAGCTAGTGATTGAGTAGAGCACATTTTTTTGCCATGATAAATGTTATTTCTTAAAAGTCTCTGAATGATTCATGTTTTCGTACATGGATTACTTTAATGGTTTATCCAACTAATGCCATTATTACATTTTTATAATGGATGTGAACATATCCAGTTCGTGTTCAGATATGTATTACGATTACACTGTCTTTATATTAGACTGCTGCTCTACCTAATAAAGTGAAGAAAATCCCTTGTTGGCAAAAACGACTATGTCCACCAAATGAATTACACTATTGTTCAAAAGTTTCAGGTCAGCAAGATGACAGTAAAGACATTTATAAAGTTACAGAAGGTTTATATTTCAAATGCTGTTTTTTAAACTCGTGAAAGAATCCTGAAAAAAGTATCAAGGTATCCAAAAAATACTATGCAAAACAACTGTTTTCAACATTGATAATAATGAATGTTTCTTGAGCATCAAATCAGCATATTATAATGATTTCTGAAGAATCGTGTGACACTGAAAACTACAGTAATGGCTGCTAAATTTGTAATCATATTTCACAATATAACAGTTTCTAAGTAAATGCAGCCTTGGTGGAGCATAAGAGATTTCTTTGAAAAAAATCTTACTGAACTTTTGAACAATAGTGTATATTAACCATATTTACATGCACATAATTTCCCTATTAAGGTATTCTGGTGAAGCCTTTATTTCCAAAATAGGTCATATATGCTCCATAGGTATTGGAATATTCCTGTATGCATGTTAGTTTCCTACTTTTGACAAGAGCACAATAAATAACTAAATGTAGCCTTGAGGCTTTTCTCTAGATCAATTTCCTTTTCACTCCAAAAAAATTCACTGAAAAGTTTGTACTTATGCAGGTATAAATGAGTGATTTGCTTACTTGTCAATACAAATTCATATTAATGTTCAAGTAGTCAAAATATTAATAAAGGCTTTACATAGGCTTAATTGGGTAAATGCGTAATTTTAATTAATAGTTTTAATTATTCTTGTGCATGTAAATGCAGCCATGGGCACTTAGAAGAGGTGAATGTATGTGATTGCATGGGCTATTGTAACATTGTGCGCTGGGTTGTTTAGAAGTGATGTGTTGTTTACAATCTTTCATTTCCCCCGAATTTCTCTCTTCTCCATCATGAACAGGAATGGGAAGTGGCGGCAGTGCAGGGAAGGAGGCGGGGCCTCTTAAAGCTCTTCTGAGGCAGCAGACCCAATCAGCACTGGAGCAGAGAGTAAGAAAAAGACACATTCACATGCATTTATATATTCACAATCAAGTTTATGCACAAAAGTGGAACTGGTGATTATGAGAATGATGTTTCATTGTCCACTCTGTCATTCTCTCACTGGATTTCAGGGGGTTTCATCATCCTCTGAAGCGTTTGTTAGAACAGGGGTATGTCTGGAGAGGGCATGCCGAATGTTTTCTGATCGTAGAATCTTTCATGTTTCCCAAACTCCTTCCTGTTTGAGAACTTTGAACTGGAAGACCCACATCTCTTCTACTGTCCTAATGACTTCATTATCAAACCAATGACACATCAGTATTGTGACTATTGGTTTGGGGGCCATGTGGTTATGCACCCATTTCCATGGAGAATATTCTAGAACCTATTCTAGAAACTCTCATGTCTACCTGTATGTCACAGTTTTGCTGTGAACTTGGTCCAGGGTTAAAATGTCTTGTAAATAAAGAAATTAATGTAAATGAAGAACCAGAGCTCTTGAAGTCTGTGTCTTCATACTTATATGGTTGAGAAATAAACATGTACTGGTAACAATTTTGTTGAGGTTTTTAATCAGGACTTCATGCATATTTATTATGTATTTGCATTAGGGCTGCCCCCTAACAGTCGACTAACCATTAGTCGACCAGAAATTTTATTAGTCGCTTAGTCGCAGAAAAAAAAAATCCACAGGCGAACTCACGCAGTCCGTGATGGACAGATCGTTAATGGCGCTGGTCTATGGCAATGCAGTACATCGGGCAGGACATCCAAATTCTCAGCTATTGTTCTTCGACCTCAAATATGGCTTATCACCTGAAATATGTAAGTATTAGCAACTTTACACTGCCGCTTAATCTAATGTTAACCTAGAAAAATGTGCGCTATTGAAGTGTCTGTGCGGAGAGTGGAAGCTGAACAGTAGTGCATGACAGATGGAGGGCCAGTGCGGTCATTTGCTCTTAAATACTCTGTCATTTTTGGTCATACAGATAAGAATAATGCTGAGTTCACGCTGCATGATTTTCAAAATCATCGGATCATCGTTGTTTTCACACTGCACGACTATCTGGGGTAGCATTCAGTTGCTGCCGTGTTCACATTGCACGATAGATCGGCGACAGGAGGTTACACACTGCATGACTTTACAATAGGAAGAATCACAGACAACTCTGTCTGGTCCGCAAACTACGTTTCAGAACCAAACGCACACGAGAAGTGATAAGGAAATAACGCAAGATCACGCTGATATTGTGGTCTATAATAATTCCTCCCCGAACAAACAATAACAAAGATGACTTTGTAACATAGCCTACTTCTGCTGGGAAAATTTTAAATACACAAATCTAAGTACTTGAACGTGAAACCAATGTTTTGTGCATTTTATACTGAGCTTGTCTACAAAAGGCCTCAAAGTGATGAAAAAGAAAAATGCAATAAATCTTTTGTCCTTTATATAAGAATATGATTTACAGGAGAAAAAAAAACCTAGACCCCTTTTATGTATATTTATTTTTCTTTTTTATTGTATTTGTATGTGTATATATATATACGTATGTATATATATATAGATATATATATACACAGGTGCATCTCAATAAATTAGAATGTCATGGAAAAGTTCATTTATTTCAGTAATTCTACTCATTGACTGATATTGCCACATTGTTTGTACATGTCTAATTGCTTAATAATAATAATAATAATAATAATAAAACAAAAAAAAAACATGCAAAAAAGTCCTCCCCGAACTTGGCTGTAGGTCATCGCCGATGTATGTTTCAGTCAGAACTTTTTTCACACAGCAGGATTTTAAATCGCCGACATCTCCAGATATTTAGCATGCCAAATATTTCATGGGCATTTGATAATTCACACTGTGTGATTGTCACCCGTGTGAACAAGCACCGATTTGCCTCCGGGCTAAAATCGTGCGGTGTGAACTTGGCATAATGTGTCTTTCAAATCTGTAAAGACTACGTTTATTTGTGTGCACTCAGAATAACAACAAAACATTGCTTTTGTAAAATAATGAAAGCAAACAGGATGTGCGTTCCTTCTGCCGTCTTGGTCATGTGAACTTGAGCGTGAAACTCCGAAACTATACGTGTATACTTGCCTTACAGATATGAAAAACATATCTATAGAGAGCGAAATGTCTACTTTCAAATGAACCAATTCAAATGGAAAACAAATATTCTCAGATTATGTAATCTATATGAAGCATGCATACGTTCACTACTGCGAAAATGACCGACTTCATCTCTTCAGCCGAAAACAAAGAAAGCACGTAGTTTAGCGTATCAAATTATTCAAATGTTCATGCAGCCTCCTTACTGTTTTTCTCTGACACATTCATAATTATTTCTTCTGCCGGTGTGCTGTGGCAAGCTTTTTGCGTGTGCTTGAGCGCTTTTTAGGCTATAGGCAATTAAAGGCGCATTATAATGATTTCAAATGGTTTGTTAATAAATATGCGATTAGTTGACTAATGCTTCAAATGAACAACTTCTAGTCGACCAGAAAAATCCTTAGTCGAGGGCAGCCCTAATTTGCATGCAGTATATCAGAATGGTAAGTTATAAGTAAAAGAGCTTCTGTTTGATTTTATGAGCATCTTATTACCACTTGTTGGTTAATGTTAAGCCACTTACATCAACTGGTAAGTCCTGATGTATTGCACTTAACAGATTTGTTACCCAGTAAAACAGCCTGTCTCCTACAGTGTCTGAGTCTCTGTATCTCTGCATGAGTCTTGTGTTGCAATTGCTAAATATTGACAATATAATGGCATAGGGCTGCACAATTAATCGAATTTCTAATCGCAATTACAATTATGGATGCCACAATTACGTAATCGTTCAAAGCGGCAATTAAAAGTCCACTTATGTTATTCTGCACGCTTAATATATGTTTTTTTCTTTCTACATGTTATCTTAAGGGTTTTTCCATTGTTTTAGTTTTAGTGTAACATTCATATTTTTCCTTTTTTTATAATTTAAAGAAGAAACCAATCCGATGTATATTTGACATTTGAGGCTTAATACTATAGAAAAGCACTAAAGGTTTTTCAGTTAGTGTTTTCAGCTTGTTTATTTTCATATAGAAATACGGCATGCAGTTGCATCAAACAGTGGTATATAAACATCATTCAATGTAAATTGTGATAATCGTAATTAATAATCACAATTACAATTTCAAGGGAATTATCGACAATTATGATTTTTGTCATAATCGTGCAGCCCTATAATGGCATGACCCACAGGTTTTAATTTCTGTGCTGTAAAATCTTTAGTTCTGTGTAAAGATTTCAGTACTGAAGTTCACCTGTCTTCAAGACATTTGCAAGAATGCCAGTGGGTCACCTGTGTCATTTCTGTATGATCCCTCCATCACCGTTCTGTGTGTTTCAGGAATACCCTTTCTTCACGTTGACCGCCTTCCCTCCTGGATTTCTCCTTCATGTGGGTGGTGTGGTCAGTGCGCGCTCAGTAAAGCTTCTGGATCGAATCCACAACCCAGGTAAGACTGCTCATATTCCACAAGCACAAATGCACCAAATATATGATACATGAACACAATTTAAAACAACATGAAACATAACTTCACTGTAGCAAGAACATAAATCAATCAGCAGGCGCATTTATGAGGTAGTTTGACTGTGTGCATGTTGTTGGTGAGGCTTTTGTTGTATTTTCAATTTAAGTTCTTTGTACAGTGTATGTTCTGCATCACATGCACCATTTCTTGGCCTTAATGTTTTGTCCTCTCCAGCTTAGTATGCTCTATTACTCTTATTTGCTTGTAGAAGATTTTGAGAAGATTTTTTTTAGTGTTCATCTCCCCTGAACATTATTTTTAATGTTTTAATCATTACATTTTTGCACTATTAGCACATGCACAAAAAATACTTTGTGAAAACTCACATTTACCCTTTCTAGTCTGTGCTAACAGTGCATTATGGGAATGTAAATATTGGTATTAATGCAATTTAATACAACGTTTAAAATATTCGGTAACACTTTATTTTAAGGTGTCCTTGTTACATGTACTTACTATTATTCAAGAATCGGCTTAAAACACATCTCTTCCATCTTTATTTGGTCCCTCTAAATCAGTGGTCGCCAACCCGTTGATCATGATTTTCCCGCGGAATTGGGCTACTTTAACACTGTTGCCGTGGGTTGTTGTTCATGTCCGTGGGTTGAAGCGACCCCAATAACGTGATATTTGGTCCCTGGAATGTGAATTTTACTGGAAGATCCCCGCCGAAAAACTTGTATTTTACCCCCGGAATGCGATTTTTACAGGGGAACGCCCCTCAAAACGCGATTAGACTAGTTTTATTGCGAAAACCTGGCAACCCTGTTCATAGGCGCCACCTGCAGTCAGAGAGTGCATCTCATTCAGACCTGCTGTTTTTGTTTCGTGCAGATGTTTTATGTAGCAAATAAATAACACCTAAAGTTAGACCATTCTGTTTTTGTTTTAAATTCCGAAATTAATCTAAATCAAATCAATAACAACTGCCTGTGCAGATCATGATTAAAATGCAGTGGTTGCCTCTAATTTCATATGGCTAGATATCTTTGTTTAAAGCAAGTTTGTTTGTTATAAAGCAAATAGCCAATAAATAAATTTGCTTTAAAAATCAGTATCAGTATCAGAATCCAATTGGCCAGTAAAAAAAAGAAAGAAAGAAAGAAAAGAAAATCTGAATTCTGAATCAGCTATGATCGGTGCATCACTAATTAAAATACTAAGTAAAAGGCCTCAAATTTGAAGTACAATCTGGGATGTCTTTTTCTATCAATTCTTCAATAGGTAGATCTTGTCTTTCATAAAGGCCGAGGTCAGGGATCTTGGGCCTAAAAAGGTTGGTGTTCACTGCTCTAAATCTAGCATTCTCTATTCTAATTTTATTCTTAAAGGGGTGGTTCACTGGGTTTTTTCTAGGCTTGATTGTGTTTATGGGTTGCAGTCTAACATGTGTTAATGCTTCGTTAAAAAAACACATTATTTTTCACATAATTTATCTTTATTCCACACCTCTCTGTCCCTTCTCTGAGAAACGGGCTGATCTTTTACTCTTTTTATGAAGCCCCGCCCTCAGAAATAGGCGATGGGCTCTGATTGGTTAGCTAGCCCAGTGTGTTGTGATTGGCTAAACCGCCTCTAGTGCACGTCTAATCGTCCTGCCCCTCACCTCAGCGGCATGTGCTCCGGTTGTATTTTAAACAGTGGCATCGTTAATATCGCTTATCAGTTTGAGCCCGATTGAGAAGCAGATGATATTATTGAAGAGGATCGTGCAGAACCCTCTGCAAGCACGGCTTTTAATGGTAGACCTGTGTTTTTTGTTTGTTGTTGTCTCATACTATTAGATACGCTGTTATTTGTAAATGCTACTGCTTATGTTAGCTTTTAATATACGGTTTTATCCTGATTAAAACTTTAATACAGTACAGCAACCGCATGTTTAATACTTCTCATAGCTATGTGAAAATAAGTGTATAATTGGAACAGTTCATTGTGGAGCTAAATGAGAGAGAGAGAGAGAGAAAGAGAGAGAGATGCAGAGCATGTGCAGAGCAGGGGAACGCGAGGAATAGTATTAAGAACCGCTGCTTTTGAACATTGATTTTGAAACTTGTGAATCCATTAGAATCGTTAGAAGACAGAATCGTGATTCATATATGAACAGATTTTTACGTGCACCTCTAGTTTTCTTTTCCTCTTCTCTAAAGCAGCG